CACCACCATGCCTGGCTAATTTTTTGTATTTTTAGTCGAGACGGGGTTTCACCATGTTAGCCAGGATGGTCTCGATCTCCTGACCTCGTGATCCGTCCGCCTCAGCCTCCCAAAGTGCTGGGATTACAGGCATAAGCCACCGCGCCTGGCAAAATTTTTCAATTAAAATTTGAAACACTGACTTTTATCAAAGAAGTTAATGATAGGATTGCCAGATAAAATACAGGAAGCCCAGATAATTTTGAATTTTAAATAAACAGCTAGTAACTTGTTAGTATAAATGTGTTCCAAATATTGCGTGGGACTTATACTAAACAATTACTTGTCATTTATCTGGAATTCAGATTTAACCTGGGCTTCCTATATTTTTGTTTGCTAAATCTGGCAACGCTAGTCAGTGAAAAATAAAATTCACTTCACAGAAACCCACAGCACGGCTAACGTCCACGAGAATGCCTTTAAAGAAACACGGCCCTTGATCCACACAGACAGACACCACATATCATAAATGCAGGTCAAAATCCTTCCTTTAATGTGATTCATGTTATTTTAACGACTTTCAGGTTAAACTCAGATTCCCAGTTACAGGCGGCCTTGGCTAGTTTTATCCGGGTAACATTTGAGGCTGCACATGTGATCACGGTCTTGGGTTTCCTCTGAGGTGTTAGAAGCCGTGTCTCTTGAGGTACTTGGCTCGTGCAAGGACATCATTGCAGAAGTCACAGCTCAGGTCCTGGCTGCTTTGGACGTAGCCAGCACCCCCACTGTAGGCGCAGAGTCCACCTGAAATGCACGAGATGATAGGTGAATACTGACCTAGGGTACTCAGCTCAGCAGTTAACTCTGAGTCTCTTTACTAACTGCCTATCAGGATTCAGCTGGGGAATCTGGTGCACTGTAATACATTTGTCCCTATTAATTCTGTGCTTGAGACAACTGACTGACAGCGTTACACGTACCTCTCAGGTACTGGTCAGGGGTCCAGGTTGGAAACCTCCTCTGGATTTCTTTGATTCTAGTAGTCAGAGCTTCAGTCATCTGGGAAACCTGAGACTCACTAATCCAGTA